ATTGTTATGAATGTTCACGCCCCAACAGAAGATAAAATTGATGACATAAAGGATAGATTCTATGAAGAACTATAATATGTATTTGATAAATTCCCGAAGTACCCTATGAAAATTTTGTTAGGAGATTTCAATGCCAAAGTATGGGGGAAGACATTTTCAAACCAACGATTGGGAATGAGAGTTTGCATGAAATTAGTAATGATAATGGAGTTAGAGTAGTAAATTTTGCCACACCAGTAAATCTTACTGTCAAAAGTACAATGTTCCCACATCGTAACAGCCATAAATTTACTTGGACATCTCCTGATGGGAAGATACACAATCAAATATACCATATTTTGATAGATAGGAGTTGGCACTCAAGTATACTTGATGTCCGATCATTCAGGGCAGCAGATTGTGACACTGACCACTACCTGGTGGTGGCAAAGGTTAGGCTAAGACTGGCAGTGAGCAAACAAACAACACACAGAGTTTATACGGAGAGGTTCAATCTCAAGAAATTAAATGAGGTAGAGGGTAAAGAACACGATTGTGTTGATATCTCAAATAGGTTCCCGACTTTGGAAAACTTGGAAACGGAGGTGGATGTTAATAAATCTTTGGAAACTATTAGAGAGAATATAAAAATGTCTGCCAAAGAGGGTCTAGATTATTATGAACCGAAGAAGCATAAACCATGGTTCGATGAAGGATGCTCAAAATAATTGGATCAAAGAAAGCAGGCCAAATTGCAATGGTTACATGATCCAAGCGAGTTAAATGGAGATAATCTCAACAATATAAGACGTGAAACCAGCAGGCATTTCAGGCACAAAAAGAGGGAATATCTGAGAGACAAAATTGATCAGCTTGCAATGAACAGTAAGAAGAAGAACACTATAGACCGGTATAGAGGAATAAATGACCTTAAGAGGGGATACTAGCCTAGCAGTAATTTAGTGAAGGATGAGAATGGTGATCTGCTTGCAGATTCCCACAACATTTTGAATAGGTGGAGGGACTACTTCTCTCAGTTATTGAATGTACATTTGGTCAGTGCTGTTAGGCAGACAGAAATCCATACAGCTGAGCCGTTAATACCTGATCCTAGCCGTTTTGATTTTGAAGTGCTATTGAAAAATTGAAACGGTATAAATCGCCAGGTAGTGATCAAATTCCGGCAGAACTTATTGAAGCAGGAGGTGAAATATTACATTCTAATATCCACAATCTAATTACGTCCATTTGGCATAAGGAAAAATTGCCTGATCACTGGAAGGAGTCTATTATTGTACCAGTTCACAAGAAGGGTGATAAAACTGATTATAGTTTTTGTCGGGGTATATCATTTCTATCAACTTCATACAAAATGTTATCCAGTATTCTTCCCTCAAAGTTAAGTCCATATATAGATGAAATTATTGGGGATCATCAGTGTGGGTTCCGACGTAACAGATCAACTACAGATCAGATCTTTTGCATTCGTCAGATATTGGAGAAAAAATGGGAGTACGATGAGAAAGTACATCAGCTATTCATAGACTTCAAGAAAGCCTATGATTCAGTTAGGAGGGAAGAATTGTACAATATTCTAATAGAGTCTGGGATGCCCATGAAACTAGTTAGGTTGATTAAAATGTGTTTAAACGAAACTTATAGTAAAGTCCGTGTAGGTAAATTTATGTCTGATAAATTTCCTATCCACAATTGTCTAAAATAAGGAGATGCTTTATCGCCACTCTTTTTCAACTTTACTTTATAATATGCCATTAGGAATGTCAAAGGAAACCAGGTGGGACTGAAATTAAACGGAACACATCAGCTGTTGGCCTATGCCGATGATGTGAATACACTGGGTGATAACGTAGATACCATAAAGAAAAACATACAAACTTTAATTGACGCAAGTAAAAAGGTTGTTCTAGTAGTAAACACTGAGAAAACTAAGTATATGTTGCTGTCTTGTCACCAAATGCAGGGAAAAGTCATTATATAAAGATAGGAAACAGATGTTTGGAAAATGTGGCACAATTAAAATATTTTGGGACAACGATAACGATCGAAACTTGATTCAGGAGGAAATTAAGAGGAGACTGAACTCGGGTAATGCATGCTATAATTCAATCCAGAAACTTTTGTCTTTTCGTCTGCTGTCCAAAAACATAAAAATTAGAATATACAAAACTATAATTTTGCCTGTGCTTCATAACTTGTACTCTTCTCCACGTATGATTAGAATGATCAAGTGAAGGAGGATGAGGTGGGCAGGGTATGTAGCACGAATGGGTGAGACGAGGAATGCATATAGGATATTGTTGGGAAAGCCAGAAGGAAAGAGACCACTACGAAGACTAAGGCGTAAGTGGGTGGATAATATTAAAATGGATCTTGCATAGATAGGATGGGATGGTGTGGATTGGATTGATCTGGAGCAGGATAGGGACGAGTGGAGGGCTCTTGTGAACACAGTAATGAACCTTCGGGTTCCATGAAATGCTGGGAAATTCTTGAGTAGCTGCAGAATTGGCTGCTCCTCCAGAAGGGCTCAGCTCCATGAGTAAGTAAGTAAATAAGTAAGTAAGTAAGTAAGTAAGTGGGGTGCGACCACATCCCTAGTGTTGCGGCCACTTCTGGCCTATTGTGCCAGCCCCAGGTGATAGGTGAGGGTTATTATGGAGCAATTGGTGGAATGAAGATTGGCAGGGGAAACCGAAGTACTCGGAGAATACCTGCCCCAGCACATTTTTGTCCACCACAAATCCCGCTTGACCAGACCCGGGATCGAACCCAGGACGCCGCAATGGGAAGCCAGCGACTAACCGCTTGAGCTATGGCGCGGCCCGTCGCATGAATGTATATCTGCCTCTCTTCTGTGTTTGTGTTATCCTCTGTAGATACAGAACTTGTGATTGGCTGACCCCTGTCCAAGGAGTCACACCATTTGGCTATAAGATTCAGAGTTGCTGAGACTAATTTCGAATGGGAGTAGACCAGAGGGCCAGATCCATTAAGAAAAGTGAAGAAAAGGAGGATTGGTGACAAGTTCTGTTATGCGAAGATAAAATGTATATAAAAAAGGAATGAAATTTGAGGATTTATTATACTATTGTAGCAGCAGCTACAAATTCGTGTCACGTGTAGGTATTAATAAGGGATGCAGTACGATGCTCTCGCATGTAATTTTGACCCTTGTTGCAAGCTTATTTGTTTATATGTGCTTTGTTTCCCTTCTCACAAATAGAATTATCCACATAGGAGCACACTTCCACCATTACGTAGATTATATGTTGAGTTTGCATGGCAGCGAGTTCATTGTGGGTCTTCAATTTGACGAGATATGTAAAATGTACGAGTACTTGTACATTCTTAAGTTGCTGATACAGGACATCTAATAGAGGAATGATCTCAATATCATTAATTTTAGTGAACTTAAAATATTAAATATAATTTATTAATAAATTTAAAAGTCCAGTATGGCCGTCAGTTTACTTAAATAATTATCTGAAATACGAAGTTATGGAATTGAGTATTATGGCTTATTTTGTATTTTTTTCATTAATAGATATTCTGAAAATGCAGTTCCCACACTGAGTTTTTCTTTATTGTTACTAAACCCTTGTGTATGCCACCCTCACATTATGTTTGCGTATGTAGGTGGCGATAAACTGAGTTTCTGCTTCCGTTATCTGTAGATCGGGTACGTGGAATGAATAGTTCTAACTTCGCTGTAGAACAGACACAAGGGGAACTTAAGATAAAACATGATAGTCGTAATGCTAAAAGCAAAAATAAATTTCTTCTCATTTTTGACACACTTGGCATTTATTAGAACGAAAAGAACTGGATCGGTCTTTTACACGGGATTCATTTTGGACTCACAGAATTCGATATACAGAGACCCGACAAAGATCTATTCATATTCTTACGCCAGCTGTGTTTCCAGTTGAATAAAATTAGCACAAGTATGTCCACTGAAGATACTAATAAACTCTGCAACTATTAAAACTTTGTTAAGGAAATGAACGTTGATCATTGAATATGTTTTGAAAAAAACCCTGTTAGAGACGTAGTGTTAGGCTACCTTAGCACGCCATGAGACTTTCTGGGCACTCAGCTTGGACACGATCATTACAAAGATCTGAATTTTCTACCAGCACTTCTCACTGTGAACATAAAATCTGCACCGGCCGTCGAATCACCTAGGAACAGAAACAAAGCTTATCTTGGTTACTGCGCATGTGCGGGAGTTTTATATGCTATTTCGATTCTAATTTCAATTGGTCCACTTTCATTTAGTGAATTACAGATGGTTTTATCACCTCTTTCACCGCCTCTGTGGTCTAGTGGTCTGAGTTCTTGGATACAGATCTAGAGGTTCTGGGTTTGATCCCCGACACCACCAGGTTTCCTGAGAAGTAGTGGGTCTGGAACGGGGTCCACTCAGCCTCGTGAGGATAATTGAGGAGTTATTTCAAAGAAATAGAGTCTCCGGTCTAGAAAACCTAGATTAACGGCCATGGGAATCCGTTGCGCTGACCACGCGACACCCTCTATCCGTTGAAGTTGGCACTAACTTTGCCGACAAGCGGTGGTCGCTCGGTCGGTATAGTTCGCTTGCGGACTACAGGCCACGGAGTTTTTTTATTTGTTTTCTATTACCTCTTTTCGATCAATGAAGCAGACAGGACCAAGATGAGCTCTTGTGATGCTTATAGTATTTCAGCACTAGCTCATCGTTCCACAGAATCATTACGCACAGTCATCACAGAAGGATCTGTAGACGGCAACGAACAGTAATGCCTCCAGCGTAACAGGGCGGCTTGCACTTCCGGTAGTAAACGCACTTCCGGTAAACCGGGCACATTTCGAGTTTATGAATAACAAGTAAAATTAATCACACAAACATGTGTTTATTTGTTTACAGTAATACAAACATTAACCAAATAAAATCCCTATTTAATAATTATTTCGTGATCGTCATAAACTAACTAGAAGTGAAATATTAAACTTAATATTATAAATCGGAGAAGGCCATGCAGCAAGAAGAAGTGCGACAACCAGCGCCACAACAGTTGTTCGGGGCCGGAAGTGACGTCACACCATCCGCGACGCAGGAAGGGGTAAGATTTGTGAGGATAGTCAGGTCACGGTGCTTTATGTGGGACTTACAGTTGAATGAGGTCAAAAGGTCAGCATTATTGCGTGTCTTTTCTTGTTCATCAGACCTAGGCACGTGTTGCATTAAGGGCAGGTTTGAAATTTTCCTTTTCCTTCTTAAACTAGATTTTCTGTTCGTCAAAGATAAACAAAACACTGGCAAGAAAGGTGCAATGAAAAATAAANCAGAATTGTTACACTTATAATGTGAATTGTAACCCTAATTGAGATTACAATTGTCAAGAAAAAATTTATAAAATTAAATAATTTTAAATCTATTAGAAAGTCATTACAAGAATTAAGTATAGTAAATTGCATAGGACATAAAATCAAAGTTAAACTTTAATTATAATTCATATCTTGGGGTCAGATTCAGTCTACTTGGTACGACGGTCACTATTGGGCCTAAAATTAAAACTTAATCTCATTATATCCCCAACTTAAATTTAATATATTGTACATTTCTCATTAATTACGATTTCAAATATTCATCTACTAATTATCGTTTAAATCAGGTCCTTGATATTAAAACAAAATGTAACCGCGTCAAACCATTTAAAGAATTATCTTTTATTTATTTGTCATTATCCGTAATTACGGTGAGAAAGGAAGAAGCACTTGCGAAAGGAAAAAAACATAACTACTCTTTTGGAAAAGTGATAACACTCATCTCATTAACATTACGGGGATAATTATTCAATCAATTTTAAGTAACTGGTTTTATATGCTTGACGCACAAGCTGATTGTCTCCCACCCTTGTATCTGTTTTAAGGAAATGACGTTATTTTATTCCAACCAAAGGAAAGTACCGGAGACGGAAATGAAAGTAAGTATTGCCTTTTGTTGTTTGTTATTGATGATTGTTGTTGATGATGATTATGATGATGACACAAAAGTTTCATCCGAGAGGAAGCTGTTTACTGAAACAGAAAACTTCAGAATTGTATATTTTATTCCGCCAGCTCAATACGTAGTACGGTCACATCATCGATACTTACAGCGTGTTCCGGCTCGTTAAGCCATCGTGAGGTTTTTACTTTCTCTTTTTTTCCCCCTTGGCACTACAGCCCCAGTGGGGCTAGGCCTACCTCCATGAACTTCTCCGTTCACTTCGGTTTTTCTAGATCTTACACATTCGGTAGGACTCCTTGGGCGGGTGATCAGCTCGTCGCAAGGCCTCTACCTGTACACAAACACAGAAAAACGCACACACACAAACTAAACATCCATGCCCTGAGTGGGATTCGAACCCATGACCCCGGTTTCCAAGCGAGGGAAGAAGTACATACCTTAGACGGCTCGGCTACCGTGACCGGCTTTTACTTCCTTACATTCGCCTATATTTATTAATAAAATTTTATACACAACAATATGACCCAAAAATGTTATGTATCATGACTAATTAGTCTTTAGTTCTGAACCTCTACATCTTGAAATGAGCAACGTAATTTCAAATATATTATCGCTCAGGGAAATTCGAAAATTAAAAACTGTTCGAAGTGTAAAACAGACTAGGGAAACGGTTCTGCGAATTGTACAGTAATGTTTTCTAGACTAATAATTGTATAAAGTTTATGAAAATGTTAATTGCTTGTAACATATTGTCGCGTGTTTGCTAGGCAACGCAACAAGAAATTTTTGTGGGTTTCGTATTTGAACGAATTTTATTGGACGGTCACTTTTACACTCACTCTGGCAGTTAATCACATCTTATAACGTCTTCAATGTTACGACACTCTCGCACCGCTATTCTCGGTAAAGTGTCTTCTGTTCTCTTACCTAATACCAATTCTACTCGTCTGAGGTAAAATACAAATTGAACTAGTCTCCAAGTCCAAGTCACATTGCGACTGACGGTCAGTCAGTCAGTAAGTCTTGGCGTCAAGTCCCGTCTGGGGCTCATGACCAGATATTTATTAGGGTTTAACGTTACGGTTTTGTTCTTTTTTTTGTGGGGCGCCCTCTCTGACGAGAAGACAGGTCTGTTTTTTACATGCTACTGGTCCTTGCCAGCGCAGTCTTTCTTGGGTCCGAGTCCCTTGGGACTCGCGACCGTATTTTACTGTCTCAGATTTGAGACTCCCCTTTTCGTCGCCTCCTACGACTCGCTGGGTCACGGTGGAGGCATTCGACCCCGCCTCCACACGGGAAATCTCTTGTCTCTTGTCGCAGTTGGACTCTTATAACTTCCACTCCGACCCAAAAGGGAATACCATTTCGAAGGGTTAACCTCGCCCGCTGCTAACGAAATGCTGCTTCAAACAATTCGTGTGTAACGGTGGAAACGCCACTGTTACGAAGATTGCTAGCCGTTGTATAGCAATGGATGCGTTCTGATTCCAAGCCGTTGTAGAGGGTACATCGCTCGTTGCCTAGGATATCAACACTGATCTCAACCATTCCGGCTTTCTGTCGGCACGCCACATTACATATTCCGGTATCTCTTATTTAAAGCCTTTTGATGCAGTTCGGTATATATTTAGCAATATTAGAGGAGTGACTCTGTTTGCATTTGTGTAACATGTAGAAGCCCACTTTAAAAAATGCCGAGATCCTAGATGTACAGAGAGGAATTCTACTAGTTGTAATGTATGGATGTGAAACGTAGTCTCATACTTTTAAGAAACAATGTAAGAGCCTTCAGCAAAATTTTTGGGCCTAGGAAACAAGTAGGCGGTTTTGAATAGTACTGTTGCATAAAACTTCGTGATTTGTACGGATGAAATTAAGGCTACTCCGATGTTCTAGGTATGTGACTATTATTGATAGTGGGATGGGACTAAGTTCATTGTACTGTGCCCACTTCTGGCCTATTGTACCAGCCCCAGATGATAGGTGAGGATAATTGTGGAGCAATTGGTGGAATGAAGATTGGCAAGGGAAACCGAAGTACTCGGAGAAAACCTGCCCCAGCGCCACTTTGTCCACCACAAATCCCACTTGACCAGACCCGGGATCGAAACCGGGCCGCCGCGGTGGGAAGCTAGCGACTAACCGCTTGAACTATGGCGTGGCCCAGGCATGTGACTAGGAGGCAGTGAATGCGTTCGGAACTTTGGGAAACCTGTTTTAAAACATCCACTTGGAATACAATTCAGAGATGTGATGATACGAATATATCACAGAAAGTAGGTTTAAAGGCTGAGAAATGGCTGAGACCGGCTCCGAATCTTGTTCAGTGGCGGGTTTTTGTACTTATGGTTGCTTCTTTGAGTAAAGTGTATATACTAATGGATAAATGTAATGAAAATTTAAATCAGCTATACAGTTTCAAATGCAGATGTGAAATATCTAAATTCAGAATAGGAGCGCACTTTCAAAATGGATGGGCATGCTCCCATATGATGATCTTCTGTCACATAGACTTCAAGTAAGTAAGTAAGCAATACACGTTTAAGAAGGAAAAAAATTATTATTTAGCAAGTGTAATTATAAATCGATTGAATGAAAATGATTCCATCAAAATAAACGAACTTAAGCAAATAATCACACTGCGGTATAAATCAATGAAGTTCTCAAAACGTACACAAGGTTTAAAAACAATGAAGGCTATATAAATCATTGAGCTAAAGAGAAGTTGCTTTGAATGGAAGCATTCCGTTTGGCTGTTACATACAAAGAATGCGACGTATGTACATATGCCCCTATGATTCTATCAAACAATAGCTTTAAATATAGAATAAAGGTTACCTGTTTCGTCGTCGAAGTCAGAATGCTATCAGAATATGTCATTTCGAAACAACAGTAACAGTGAAACACTGCTTGGGCATAGGTACTAGGCCCCATGTACGCGTATGTGGACTTTCTAAAATGTTTTTCTTAACTCTCACAGATGGTATATGCTGTGTTTGGTTTATACTATCTTGTATTGGTGTTGGTGTCGGGAGATAGGGACTAGCTCTGGCAGTTGGGCCCAACTGAGTAAGTTCCACCTGAAGACGGGGAAAGAATTAAGTCTCCGAAATGCTGTATTCTTTAAATAAAAATAGGATGATGGGTAATGTTCAGAAACACAATAACTGTATAAAATGCAGCTCATTTGCATATTCTGATATGGTTTCACGAACCATTTGAAAAACAATGAAATCTCAGATTTCTTCGCGACTTAGAATATTCTTTGTACATATCTGTGAGAGGATGACTGCATTCAGCAAACGTTTATCCTATTGTTTTCCTTGGAAAGAACCAAAACGGGAAGATGTTAAAGAGAACGCAATGTTTGCATATCGACTGAATGCGATTCATTGAGCCTGTAGCTATCCTTCACTGCCAGAACTGCGTAGAGAAATGATGTTTGTTTCGCCAGTCACGTGACCGAGTCCTCTGTTGCCCATCTTAATGTGATCAGTAGGCGGGCCGGTGTCAGTCAGTGCCGCTGGTACCAACCTCGCAGTCACGAAATTCGTGTCACAAAAAAAGTATTTAAAAATCTTTTGGATTTATGAGCACTGCGGGAAACGTTTCAATGTCATGTTTACTGCAGCGAGAGGAGGCACAGCGCGTCGTGGTTTTATTCGGTTCCTTCGTATTGGTCTAAACGTGACTATATTAATTACAAAATTCTTACGAGTTTTAAAAGTCCAAAATAACTCCCAGTTCCAATATCTCTATCTTGACAGTAATCCTACGCTCTACTACATTCCGAATTTTACCTAACTAAGGGTTGAGCGGTGTCCTTTATGCGACAGAGAGTTAACGTGCCAACACAGTAAGGAAGAACAGAGACTGAGAAACTTTGAGAAGAATATTTGGACATGTACAGAGGGCATAACATGACAAAACTGCATAATGAAAAATTTTACAATTTGTACTCGTCACCAAATATCATTGGATGGTAAAATTAACAAGAATGAGGTGGGCAGAACATGTAGCTGCTGGGGAGGGGGTAATTGATATATCGGAAGCATGAATAAAATATTCATTTTCGTAACGAATCTTTTATTCATGCTTCAGATATATCAA